CATGAGTAGATATTCATGAACAAAGGTGAGTTCACTCGAGGGTGCCAAAGCTTGCGGTTTGGAAGGGTCCAAACAGGAACTTGGTTGGTTTGCTGCAATATCCTCTCTCAGTGAGATAGCTACAGTCTAGTGTCAAATGCCCGCGTTTTCCTGACACTGGAGCTTTCTATTAATATCCAGGTTTTCCATTTCATTTGTAAAAGGGTGTGTGAAATGCGTTCTACCTGTGTATAGACATCTCTAATGGCTGCAGATGAAGTTCTGCCTGAAGAGAATGGTCACGGTTCGCCTGGAATGTCTTTTTTCTAACTGGCCGGTCTCAGAGAAAGACATTTACTGCTCACACAGACCGCTCATCCCTGCTGGTACTGTGGACCCTTCCTTTGTACCAGTGATTGCAGTGGGGTGTTTACTTCTCTGTCCTACCCACCAGGTGGTAAGCACCAGGAGGGCAGTGACTGGGCTGGCACAGAGAGAGCATTCAACAAACATTTATTGAGAGAAGAAAAGGACAGAAGGCAGGGAAAGTGGGAAGAATGCAGGGAGGAAGGAAAAGAGGATTAAGTCTGATGTTAAAGTTTTCCATGAGATGAACTAAACTTTTCTCTGCTCATGGTCTGGATCGCAGTCATAACAGTTGACCCCTTCCAATCCATGATCTCTTCTATCCACCACTCTTCACTCTCTCCACTGCCTGGCTTATGCCCTGCCCTCTGCGTAGGCTGGCTGTCTCTCTGCTCTGGACTTTCTTTGCTTGCTCGTCCAGAACCACTCCCCACCCTGCTCTGCGTCCTTGGGAGACTGGCTTCTATTGCATCAACAGGTTCCTTTGTTTTGTGACTTCCACTTGGATTCACCAAATGGGGAACACTGACAGCAGACTGGCAGGCAGAGAGAATGACAGCGTGGAATTTACTCTCCTGGTTGCCTTCTTCTTATCAGGTGGCTGTAAGTTGGCTGCTTCCCTTGCTGAGAGCCACAGCTGATCCCAGGAATTCCTCTCCACACAGCCCTTCTCCCTGGGCCCCACAACCACTTTTTCCTCTTGCCCCTACAGGCCAAGGGGGGAAATGGCTCTCCATGTTGCCAGCCCCGTGGCATAGCGCGAGGCCTTGCTGGTTGTCCTCAGTCCAGTCTACAATATTGTAAATAGCTTCTTCTTGCAAATAGCCCCTCCTTCAACTCTCCTTAATTATTCTGTTTGAATGTGCCATCTGTTTCCTGCGAGGACCCTGACTGATGCAGTCTGCATCTTTACCTCTCAACGGGCCGCCTATTCTCAAAGGCCTACTCAAATCATGCTTCCTCCAGCTGCTTTGCCTTGTTTCCCTAGTCAAATAAATCTCCGCTTTTTAGGTCTCCAGTCCTACTGTGTGTCTGTAAATTTAAAAATCAGAGTTTCTTATGTTTCTATATGACTTTCCCACTGAAGTGGAAGCCCCTCAATGGTAAGGAACATGTCCAACTCACTGCAACACCCCCAGTGAAAAGCAGAAAGGCTGGTAGGATAGACATGCCCAGTAAATGCCTGATAAAGAGAAGAGAAACAGTCAGTATTGGGCTTTCTGTCACGATATGGAATAAGGTATTTTTGCGCAGTGCTCAACACCAAGACCACAAGGCCACCTTCTCCACTAGCACTGTAATCCCAGCTATGGCCTCATTACGCAAGATTATCAGTACTGACTTGCATGCCTCTGGTGACTGGAAGCTCACTCACCCATCTAACTGGAGATGATATCATCTATTACTCAGCTCAAAGCTGCCTCCTGCAATTGCAACACTCGAGTCCCAGCCATGGCTTAGAAACCATATAGAAAAATTCTGCGACTTTCCCATATAGAAAAATTCTGCGACTTTCCCACCAGTTAGGCCTCCAGAGCTTGAAATGTATGTGTCATGACCATATAACCATGACCCTCCCTCCCTCCTTTCCTCCCTTTTTTGTTTAAATTCACAAAGCAAAAATTTATCTGCAACCTTCCACAGGTTTCTGTCTGCACACAGGACAGCTGATTCGGCCAGAACCCAGAAAGCCCCAGCCTCATCACGAGATGACACATGGTCTGGTGGGCCTCACGCAGGGCACACAGCTTTCCTAGCCAGCAGACAAACAAGCCCTGGTCACAGCGGTCATAGCTGGCACATGGTCACTCACAGACACTCTGGGCACGCATTCCTGTGACTTAGAAAGGAGAAGGCCTTTGGAACCTGACAGTGTTGTCTGATGATTGTGAGGTATCTGGAACCTGGGGCCTCATGGCCCCTCCACACCAGCATGGTGCTCTGCAGAGGCCAGCTACTCTTCATCCTGTCTCAATGGTACATAGTTTTTTCCCCCAAAAGTTTAGTAGAGCCACTCTTCCTGTCACCTGTCTTTTAATTCTGCCTCTTATTGTTCTCTAGATTAAAACATATTCTCAGCCGGGCGCGGTGGCTCAAGCCTGTAATCCCAGCACTCTGGGAGGCCAAGGCGGGTGGATCACGAGGTCAAGAGATCGAGACCATCCTGGTCAACATGGTGAAACCCCGTCTCTACTAAAAATACAAAAAATTAGCTGGGTGTGGTGGTGTGCGCCTGTAGTCCCAGCTACTTGGGAGGCTGAGGCAGGAGAATTGCTTGAACCCAGAAAGCGGAGGTTGCAGTGAGCCAAGATTGTGTTACTGCACTCCAGCCTGGTCCCTGGTGACACACTGAGACTCTGTCTCAAAAAAAAAGAAAAAAAAAATCCTCCTTCCATGTGAGCTTTGGACCTAGTAGTCTTAGGTTTGAATCCAAGCTATCAATTTATTAGTAGAGTGATCTTAGGTAAGTCCCTTCATCTTTTTGAATCTTAAATTTTCACAGCAAAACAGGGTACCCACCTTCCGGGCACTTGGTTGGTGCTGCATAAACATTTGTTGCATGAATGAAAGAATGAATGAATGAGTGAATGAATGAGAAAATAAATGGGTATACAAATGGATGGATGACTTCCAATAATGCCATTCTACCCACATCCACTCTGAGCAGGCACAGAGGTACCTCTTGGGAGTCTAGTTTAGTGGCGCACACTGAGCACAGACTTGTGCTTGTGATTTAGCCTAATGATTTTCTTGACCCATGAACTAGCTAAGTCGCTTCACTCTGAGTTTCCTCTATTTCCCGTCAGTCAAACATGAATGTTAACCTCTGTGCCGACTCCCTTGCCAAGTTCTGGAAAGGCCCAAGTGAGAGCAGAGATGACAATGCACTATGACCTGGAAGAGACCGGTCACACATCAAGGCTTCTCACATGGGCTGCTCATGTCTTGGAGCCAAGGTGAGAGTCCAGGGGCCCTCCTGGAGCCAGGAATCTGAGCTGAGGTGCTTTCTGACTTTCTGCCAGGCAGGGCATTCTCCTGCCAGCATCCTCATTCCTTTGCACATAGGTATTTTGTTCACACACGGGAGGCCCTTGCTCTTTTGAGAGAGACATAAAGAGAAGAGTCAGCAGAAAACCTGCAGAGGTGAGCAAATGTGCTCGAGCCATCAGCAAGTCCAGGGTCCTGTGTGTTGGACGGAATAGAAAAGTTCAGTGTGAATCTGGGGAAAACAAGAAAGTGGATATTGATGGTCTCTGGCTTGAATCTGGTTCCTCCAAGTCCCACATTTAATACAGGTCACCACTGAGTTCACCTTTGGTTTCTAGTTTGGGATTATTGGTTACGGTAGATAGCAATGGTAGAGGCTAAGTGAAGCATTAGAGTGAAGGTCCCCTTTTCTGTCCTGTCTTTAACAGTAGATGTGAGAAGTTTTCTCTGCCTGGAGTGGCCTCCTTTCTTCCTCTACCCAATCTCTGATGTCAAAATTACACCTATTCTTTTTTCAAGTAAATTTTATTGTATATCTTTAAGGTAGACATGATGCTGTGGAATACATATAGATAGCAAACAGTCTACTGTAGTAAAACAAATGAACATATCCATCATCTTAAGTCACCCATTTTCTTTTGTTATTTTGTGCCAAAAGTAGTTAAAATCAAGTTAGTTAGCATGAATCCCAAGTACAGTTCAACTTTATTTCCTATAGTCCTCATGCTATACATTAGCCCTCTAGACTTGTTCTATTATACCGATTAATTTGTTTTACTTGCAAGTTAGAGCTATTCCTGAAGACCTTGCTCAAATGTCACCTCTCTCAAGAGGGCTTCCCTGATATAGTCAAGCTGCAAGTCAACTTTTTCTCTTTAATCACCTGAGGCACTCCCTAAACACAGCACACTACCTTTCATTAGACAAGTAATGACAAACATACTATTGAGAATTAATGATGTGCTATAAGAGAGTGTCTCCTCTCTATCAATCCTCAGAGCAACTTGACATAATAGGTGCCATTATTTCCCCCATTTTACAAATGAAGAAATAGCTTCTAAGAAGTTGCAAAATGAGGAAGTCACAGAGAACTGAGACCATGGGGCCAGGTTGTGTATCCCTATGTGGCCCGAGATCTTTGGGCCCGTACACCAGAACTTTCTGTGATGATTAAAGGGTTTCATATGGTTTTGTCAGGATGGTAGCCACTAGCCCCATATGGCTAGAGTACTTGAAATGTGGCTAATGCAACTCAGGAAATGGATTTTGAGTTTTATTTAACTTGGACTGATTGAAATTTAAGTAGGCACATGTTGCTAGGAACTACCATATTGGACTGTGTGACTGTCACCCACTCTATGTCATACAATACAACAGCTATCTGTACTCAGCTCTTATCAGCCAATTTAAACTCTGAGCTCTTTGAGAAGCCAAAACTCTCAGGCTTCCTTCATAGCTCCTGGTAGACACTCAATGAAGATTTTTGTAAGAAACTGTGTTTGCCTATGGTCTCCACGATGACCTGAGTAAAAGACTTGCCTCAGTCATGAAGCTGCTGGGTGAACCAGAAAATCTGTGTATCACCCATGGGCCTCAGAGGCCTTATCTTTAACATGGAGGACAGCAAGTTCTTTCAACTGGGCATCTTTAGCCCAGTAAGGCCTTACCTGTGTGGAGAGTCGGGGTCAAAGCAAGTCTGAGTGACATCGGTGATTTCGGGGTCACAGCACTCTCCGCCATCAAAGTTGAACCGTTCATAGTTGCAGTCCATGTCACACACCCCGTTCTGCTGCTTCTTCAGGAAAGCGGGGTGGCGCAGGCGGCGGCAATCCCCGCCATCGTGGCCGGTCAGCGTGTGGTTGCACTCGGGGTCACAGTTCTCATCCCCGATCTTGCTGACGTCACAGTTAGCCAGGATGAGGCGGTGGCGCAGGGAGGAGTTGCTCACCTCCAGCACCTCCAGCTCCCAGGAGATGTTGTAGTGCCTGAAGGTCTCGAGCAGCTGCTGGTGCTGGAAGTCCACCTGCTCACGGGTCACCATCGGGTTCTCATGATTGTCATCGTAGAGGTTGACCACGCGGTAGCGCACCACCTTGGGCTGGCGGAAACTCGGGAGCTGATTGTAGCTGGTGATGACCTCTGTGTTGTCACACAACGTCTGTCCACACAGAGGAGGCTCCAAACTCGTGTCCAGCAGAAAGCCGTGGGCATTGCTGAATTCCACTTTGGGGCGGCTGCTCTCCTTCATGGGGGACCAGGAATGCTTCAGATTGTCCCAGTTCTCTTGGAGGAGGAGCTGAGGTAGAGCAGTGTGGGTGCCATGGGTTTCCATGTCCGACAGTATCTCCCGCTGAGTCCTGGCCACCTTCCACAGACTGAAGTGCTCGATGTAGCCCCGGTAGTTGTGATTCAGGGCATTGCCCCCCACCATAAGCACTTTGCACTTCTGAGTCAGTGGGCTGAATATGCCACCCACTTGCTCCCCAGAGGTGGCCACCTGGGCACCGTTCACATAGAGCTTCATGAACTGCCCGTCGTAGGTGGCAGCTAGGTATACCCACTGGCCTGGGAGGTAGCTGCGGTGGGCATTGATGGTGGTCACTTGCCGGGCCCGGTCTGTCTTCAAGGAGAAAAAGTAGCGTGGGTCTGTGTTGTCTTGGTCACTGACGGTGTGAATGCCCACGACCCATCCTCGGTCACGTGAGGTATAAGAACATTTGTCATACAGCCCTATGTGGCCCCAAAAAAGAAAGATGAATAAATAAAGGATGGAAAAGGAGCAGGGGGGGGCGGGAGGTTAAGTTATTTTTCTCTGATAACATTTGTATCAGATTATCCTAGACTCATCGTTTTCCAATTGCTCTGTGGGATCCTAGCAGTTACTAACGGTGCCTCTGGGACCACCTCAAGGGCAAGGCAAGGGCTGGGGGATCTGAGAGGATGAGTAAGTTGGGCCTGGGGCATTCTCATCACAACTTTAACCCGTGAAGTTTAACTTTTATTGGTTTTAGATATGGAGCATACAAGAAAGACATTTGTCTGAAGAAAGGGTACTTCACCTAATGAAAATACAACAGCAGCAATAATAATAAAAATCTAAAAATCATCGGTTTTGCAAAGCTGTTAGATGGGGAAGAGAACTTTGTAATTAAGAGGGTATTTTAGGCTGGAAGTGGTGGCTCATGCCTGTAATCCCAGCACTTCGAGAGGACAAGGTGGGTGGATCACCTGAGGTCAGGAGTTCAAGACCAGCCTGGCCAACATGGTGAAATCTTGTCTCTACTAAAAATACCAAAAGTAGCCAGGCATAGTGGCTGGTGCCTGTAATCCCAGCTACTTGGGAGGCTGAGGTTGGAGAACTGCTTGAGCCCAGGAGGTGGAGGTTGTAGTAAGCAGAGATCATGCCACTGCATTCTAGCCTGGGCAACAAGAGTGGAACTCTGTCTCAAAAAAAAAAAAAAAGAAAAGAAGTTATTTTAAGTGTAAGATAATATACAACGTGAAAGGAGAAACAGTAAGAGATGATAATGAACAGAAGATGCTAATTTAGAAGGGAGGGTCCTACCATAGTTACCAAAACTTTGAGTGTTCATCTGTCATTAGCAGTCATTAAATGATCAGTGGCATTAAATTGTCAGGCAAGTTGGGGTATAAAAATGAGGGACAGGACTGAAAAGTTGGAACTTTATTCTCTAACGGGAATCTTGCCATTTATCCCCAAAGAAAGAAAATATACTTCAGAGCTAAACTAGAAAGGTTTTCAAAGATCATCATCTCCAAACCTTTCATTTGACAGGTAAGAGAGCTGAGACCCAGAGAATGGAAGGTATTTGTCAAGTCACAGAGTCATTGACAGTTCTCCTGTGTCCTGATTCAGCTAGCTTTTTACAGAGGCCTATATATAGAAGCAACATATATATATATATATATATGGAGTGCCTTCTGAACATAAAAACATGTTGGGTTTGCCTACATAATAGTTAATAATAATGAACAAAATCTCCCCAGCCTCTATGGCAGGCCAGGCGTTGTGCTAAGGTCTGTATATGCATTAACTTAATCCATGTAATATCCCTAAGGTAGTGACATTAAATTTCTCATTTAACTGATGAGAATATGGAAGTTAAAGGACATGGAGAGATAGGTTCAAGGTCAATTGCTTGGTAAGTAGATCTCAGATGCATTAGACCCTTGGATTCACTGTCCTGGACACTAATTCTATAGCAACTCCCCCTGCCTCACCAAAGTCATCAGGCATCTGGACCACGCCACCTACCTAGGGCATGTCACAAATTTGAGTTCGATAGCCGAGGAAGTGCCAAGGCAAGCATCTCTATAGTTACTCTGGGAACCCCAGGAAGTAGGTGAGTGGATTCTCTCTGGATCTAATTCCCTTTATGCTCACCAACTCCCATTTCCTAGCCCTTCTGGAATATACCCAGTGTCCTTGGCACAGACAAAGCTGTTGGATGGGGAAGAGGACTTTCTAATTAAGAGTGTATTTTAAATGTCAGATGATGTATGAGGCCAGGTGGGAGAAGAAAGAGAGGCAGAGGAGAGTGAATAAAAGATGCTCATTTAGAAGGACAGTGTCTACTCTCAGCTGGAGAATTGTTGCGGTCACCATAACTCTGGGAGTGCACCTGCCATTAGTGCTCATCAAATGAGTATGGAGAGCTTCCAGCAAAATCAATAGAGGAGGCCCACACAGTCTTCACTCCTTTGTGGGCAATGGAAGCTTAGAATTGGTGTAAATCTCTTTGTTAGCAGCTGACATGGCCAGCAGTCTTCGCCCAGCATCTATGCCAACTGACACCTCACCTCCCACTTCCTGCTCGACAGTTTTTCAGGAAATGGCCAGAGTCTCCTTACAAAGTCATCCTGCTCTTACTATCAGGCAATCTTAGTGAAGCACCAAGTGTCTCCACTGGGTCCTGATTCTCTCTCTGGTAAAGGAGGGGATTAAGTGAAGTTTCATGTCACATCCTAGGTCCAAGTCTAATTTACTTTATTCTAGATTTCCCAGCGACTAACACACAAGGTACCTCTTTCTAGAAGTTCTTCCTGACTGCCCTGTGAATAGTGATTATTCTCTTCTTCGAACTCTTTTCCTTTCAGAAAACTCGACAAGTGCTCTTTGGTTTTGGAGTTGCCTGTGTTCTCACCATTATCCCCTCTCTGCTAAACTGTATTCTTCTTGAGAGCAATGGTTGTGTCTGTGTCACCCCAGCAACTTGTCCAGCACCTTGCTACAGCAGGCATGGGAATGGTTCTAAATACAGCAGTAGACGAGAAAAGATAGGCATTTTAAGGACAAACACAATCAAAGGCATTAATTTATGTCTCTGTAACTAAAGTACAGGGAGAATCAGAGGATAAAATGCATTCTTGGTAAAGTAGAAAGATCAGAATCTTTGGACTCAGGGTAATTTACTTTGAATGTTGACAACAGCAATTACTAGTTGTACATCTGGGGCAAAATCACTTCACCTCTAAGTTTTAACTCCTTCATCTGTATCTCTCTTTAAATATGTTATCGTACTTAAAACATAGTGAATACGACATCTTCTGCATACAATGGCTGTCCAAATGAGAGTTCACTGTTAAGATGCTGGAGGGTTCAGAAGTAATGTAGAGGATGAAAAGGAGGGAGGAAATGATGGGAAACAAAATACAAAGGCCAGAAAGACAGAGTACCCTGAAGATATCTTGCCCGACATATCAAGAAGGAAGGCTCAAAAAAGCCCAGGTCCTTCTCAAACCCACTGGCAAACTGTTCTTAGAAATCATAGATCCCATGAGCTTAGATGATATTAGGAGACTACATATTAAAAGCTGCCTCCCCACTGACTCCTTCAGAAGCCTAAGATTCAACTCCAGATTTGAAGTGAGTTGCCCCAGATCTATCTGTTGCTGCCCATTACGGGAACCAGTGAGAGCAGAGCTTCCTGGAGCCACGAAATTCATGCCCTTCACCACCTCTTAGCTCACCTTCTCTCTCTCTCTCTCTCTCTCACAGCTAACCCTATTACTCATGAAAAGAAAATGAAGGGTCTTCTAATGAGAAAATTAAAATCTGAAGGAAGATCCTTTTTCCTTCTCTCTTTCTCTCTCTCTCTCTCTCTCTGCAGGCTTTTATTTTGCCAGGGGTTCCCAGTCCCTGGTTTTCCTGTTGCCTTTGGAAGGCAGCTAGTCTGATTAGCAAGGTAAGATGTTTACACATCTGTAGGGTGCTCTCAGTTCAGAACCTTGATGGGGCTTGGGACCTGGGCTCAGGTCACCTCTGTTTGCAGTTGAGAGAAGGGGGAAGAAGTGACAAAAGGCAGATTCTGCAGAAGAGCTAAGAAATAAAGGGGTGGCTTAGCCATGGGAGGCAGAGAGGAAAGGCAAAGAGAGGGTTTTCAGTGGAACCAAAAGGAAACACATTAAGGGAAATGTGAACCTTGAAGCAGTGGCTTCAGAAATTCAGAGGGAAATATTCACTTGGAGTGTAAGTAGCAAAAGAAAATCACTGAGCTTCAATAAGGCTGGGGGAGTATGGTGGCGATGGGGTTTCATTTCTATATGAAAATAACTTAATCAACAGTAGTCTTATTTTAGGGTCTGAAAGGGAAGCATCCCTGTACCTGTACCACCAGCTCAGAACAAGAAATTTGGCACCAGAGATTCAGGCTTGACTTTCCAGGTAACCTTGCCTGGGACAAGTCATACCACCTCCTTCATGTTGCTGAACCTCATTTCCCTTCTCTGTAAAAGGAGGGGTCTGCCTAAAAATGATCCCTTGCTAGAATTTAAGAGCTCTTTTGTTCACTGTTAGAATGGTTCCTTGTAAGTAAAAGGTGCTCAAAAATATGTGATGATTTGAATTAGATGCCTTATGTCATTCCCAATTCTTTCATGCTTAGACTCTGTCTCCTCTGAGGATCTCTGTACAGGACACAGAATGCTGTTCTCTGGAGCAAACAGAAGAATCCCCCACATCTCCACACTGCCCTTCCCCACAGTTCTGCGTAAAGATAGAGGCATAGTACAAAAAAAACATTGGTGCAAGTGTATCTGAAGTCAGCACCATCTGTGTGGGTCTAGAGGATGATCCCAAGGGACACAGTCCCATGTGGCAAGATGGAAGGCCACATGCAATTCTGCACATGATCTACCTATAATTAGCATAAGTCTGTCTCAATGCTATAAGCACATAGAACTAGACAATGAAAGCATGCAAGAGCCCCTTTATAGAAGTGTGTCTGGGCACACTGCACAGAGGGAGAGGTTGGGGGCCAGCAGGAAAGGAGCCTGCCCTGGTCCTCCCATTAAGGCACCATCCCTGGAATCGTGGCCAGCTGACCCTTCTAATGCACCCCATCTTCCTGCAGCTAGGCTTGATATGAGAAGGGTTCCATGGCCCCCCTAGAAGCTTGATGTCTGTTTCTTTTCATTGCCTCTTTTTCTTCTCATCTATCCATTCAATCTCATCCAGAAAGAAGAAAATCCATGAGGGAGAAAAGCTCAAAGGCATGGAGGGAGTCTCTCAGAACCTTGGCTATGGCTGTGCAGAATCCTCTGGGCATTAGGGGTGTTCTCTAAGTATCACTGCCTTAGATACTACCCCAAGGTAAATTTGTCTGATGACCCCATGCCACCCAGGCATCAACAAATATTCCTCTTTAGGACAGGCAGGAGTATTCATCATATTCCTCCCTGTCCTAAAACTACCTCATCACCGAGTAATT